GTGTGTGTCTGGGTGTGTGTGTGTGTGTGTATGGGGGCGAGGTGTGTGTGGGGGGTCATAGTTTCTTCAGGCTCAGTTTCCTTCATTAAACACATACCTGCATTTATGAGACTATTATCCTCACACACACGACTACTGTACTAATGTGAACCAGAACCAGACCAGGACCAGAACCAGAACCAGGACAAGACCAGGACCCGACCAGGACCCGACCAGGACCAGACCAGAACCCGACCAGGACCCGACCAGGACCCGACCAGGACTGAACCAGGACCCAACCAGGAGACAGGTCTTACTGTAAACTAAAACAGATCTGAACAAGGTCTAGATTAGGATGAGATTTTGCTCTGCATGTGAAGTGTGATGTGGGACGAGTTCAAGGTTTTGGTCTGATTTTGGTCATGGCTCTGGTTCTGAACCAGAACTAGACCGGGACTGAACCAGCCACTGTGAGGCGGCATCAGGGCCCAGGTGTAAGTTAAGACCAAGTCCGGTTTGTCAAGAATATTCAACAAAAAAATAAAATTGCCATCAGAATTCTAAAGGACGTGTTCACTCACTTTACACAGAGACCCGGAAACTGGGACTAAACTGGAACTTATTTTAGAAGTAGAACTAGACCAGGACTAAACCATATTTACATTAGTTGTAGTAGTGTTAGTCCCAGGAATTCTACAGCTCCTGTGGGTCTGTTCTTAGAGATCCCACATGGAAACCTGATGATGGTAGGGCAGGTGCAGGCAGGTGCAGGCAGGTGTAGGGCAGGTGCAGGGAGGTGTAGGACAGGTGCAGGGCAGGTGAAGAGGTGCAGTGTGGGTTGAGATGTTTGGCCACACAGGTGTCAGTCATGTTTAGAGTCCGACTGAGGTAAAAGATTGAGAGCCGTCTGTGTCCTGTCGCACCTGACGATGGTCCTGTCTGTGGCTCTGGAGTCTGTGGCTCTGGAGTCTGGAGTCTGCGGCTCTGGAGTCTACGACTCTGGAGTCTGAGGTTCTGGAGTCTGGAGTCTGTGGCTCTGGAGTCTGTGGCTCTGGAGTCTGTGGCTCTGGAGTCTGGAGTCTGCGGCTCTGGAGTCTACGACTCTGGAGTCTGAGGTTCTGGAGTCTGGAGTCTGTGGCTCTGGAGTCTGTGGCTCTGGAGTCTGAGGTTCTGGAGTCTGTGGCTCTGGAGTCTGGAGTCTGCGGCTCTGGAGTCTGAGGTTCTGGAGTCTGGAGTCTGTGGCTCTGGAGTCTGTGGCTCTGGAGTCTGTGGCTCTGGAGTCTGAGGTTCTGGAGTCTGCGGCTCTGGAGTCTGAGGTTCTGGAGTCTGTGGCTCTGGAGTCTGTGGCTCTGTGAGCTCTGGGCTCTGGAGTCTGCGGCTCTGGAGTCTGAGGTTCTGGAGTCTGTGGCTCTGGAGTCTGTGGCTCTGGAGTCTGCTGCTCTGGAGTCTGGAGTCTGCGGCTCTGGAGTCTGGAGTCTGCGGCTCTGGAGTCTGAGGTTCTGGAGTCTGTGGCTCTGGAGTCTGAGGTTCTGGAGTCTGCGGCTCTGGAGTCTGAGGTTCTGGAGTCTGTGGCTCTGGAGTCTGTGGCTCTGGAGTCTGAGGCTCTGGAGTCTGAGGTTCTGGAGTCTGTGGCTCTGGAGTCTGTGGCTCTGGAGTCTGAGGCTCTGGAGTCTGTGGCTCTGGAGTCTGTGGCTCTGGAGTCTGGAGTCTGCGGCTCTGGAGTCTGAGGTTCTGGAGTCTGTGGCTCTGGAGTCTGTGGCTCTGGAGTCTGAGGTTCTGGAGTCTGAGGTTCTGGAGTCTGAGGTTCTGGAGTCTGTGGCTCTGGAGTCTGTGGCTCTGGAGTCTGAGGCTCTGGAGTCTGTGGCTCTGGAGTCTGTGGCTCTGGAGTCTGCGGCTCTGGAGTCTGAGGTTCTGGAGTCTGTGGCTCTGGAGTCTGTGGCTCTGGAGTCTGTGGCTCTGGAGTCTGGAGTCTGCGGCTCTGGAGTCTGAGGTTCTGGAGTCTGTGGCTCTGGAGTCTGAGGTTCTGGAGTCTGAGGTTCTGGAGTCTGAGGTTCTGGAGTCTGCGGCTCTGGAGTCTGGAGTCTGTGGCTCTGGAGTCTGGAGTCTGCGGCTCTGGAGTCTCTGAGCGTCACGTTGTGTCTTTCACTTTCACAAACCAGTTTCGTGGTGCAGATGTTCGGGTTCGTGCTTGGACAGTTTTGTTCTTCAGAGCAGTTTGAGTTTGAGTTGAGATGTTTCAGTGAGTTTGGAGCAGATCTGGAGTCCAGACTTCAGCTGCTGAATGAAGCTCTGACCCTGATGGTTTTGTCGACTGTGAGGAGCACGTCTCTGGAGCTCCCCGTGTGAGCGCCCTGTGTGAGCGCCCTGTGTGAGTGCCCTCATGTGGCACCAGTTTTAGAAGGACGTTTTGCTCAACTGATTTAGTCTCAATGTTACTAAAATGTTCCAAAAATGTCAAAGACAAATCAAAAGTCTCACATTAAACCCTCTCCCCTCACTCTGTCTCTGTTCTCTGTCTCAGGTCTTCCAGATTTGGTTCCAGACCCGGTTTATCTCCAGAGTGGTTCTTACGTCCAGAGAGTCCCGATGTACAACCTGCGCTGCGCCGCCGAAGAAAACTGCCTCTCCTCGTGAGTCATAGACCAACATACACCAACCCCCACTACCATACACCACCATACACTGATCCCCACGACCACAGACCGACAGTAGTTTTGGTTCATGTCATCAGGTTCTTTTTTCAGACCCAGAGTTTGTTTTGGTCCTGACAGTTTGTTCTGCTCCTCTTCCTCTTGGTCTTGGTCTGGTGATGTTTCTGTGGTGTCGCTCAGTTGGTTTAAACAGGTTTAGGAGAAAGAGAAAAGCTGATTCTGGACTGGGACGAGCAAACATCACTGGGACTAACAAAAACAAACACGTCGCTGGATTAAAGAGGAAATCGAAACACGGAAACGTGTCCACGAGACGATAAACCGTGACAAGGGTCTTGTTTCCTCTCACACTCCTAGATTGTGTGGTGAGGAAGTGCGTCTGCAGGTGGCGCTGTCGTCTTGACTCCACCGAGACCAAGACACAGACAAAACCTGTTTACACCAACTGAGCCACGACACAGAAACATCACCAGACGAAGACGAAGAGGAAGAGGAGCAGAACAAACTGTCAGGACCAAAACAAACTCTGGGTCTGAAAAAAGAACCGAAGAACATGAATGATCAGAAGACCAGATGAACCTCGTTGGACTGGTGTTGGTTTAATCAGAGGCTGCACTAGCGCTGGTTCCTGATTGGCTGTCGCACTAGCGCTGGTTCCTGATTGGCTGTTGTGTTCGGCTCTGATGGAGCAGATTCTGTGGAAAAATCGACCGGAATGTTCTGTACAGACCTCAGGGACTTGAGGGACATGAGGTTGAGATTTATGCCCTAAAGTGTGTCCTTTCTCTCCTCCTCCCACTCTTCTCTTCTCTCTTTCTTCTCTTTTTCTCTCTTTCTTCTCTCTTCAGTTCTGCTCATTTCTCTCAGGATTATGACACCAGAGTTTTGTTGAGATTCACTCAGAGAGTCAAGAACCAGGGAACGTCCGACTTCCTCCCGTCCCGACCGCGCTACGCCTGGGAGTGGCACTCCTGTCACCAGTAACTATCTCTAATACTAACCTATAAACTCTACAGACTGCAGGGGGCGCCGTCCTGTCACCAGTAACTATCTCTAATACTAACCTATAAACTCTACAGACTGCAGGGGGCGCCGTCCTGTCACCAGTAACTATCTCTAATACTAACCTATAAACTCTACAGACTGCAGGGGGCGCCGTCCTGTCACCAGTAACTATCTCTAATACTAACCTATAAACTCTACAGACTGTAGGGGGCGCCGTCCTGTCACCAGTAACTATCTCTAATACTAACCTATAAACTCTACAGACTGCAGGGGGCGCCGTCCTGTCACCAGTAACTATCTCTAATACTAACCTATAAACTCTACAGACTGTAGGGGGCGCCGTCCTGTCACCAGTAACTATCTCTAATACTAACCTATAAACTCTACAGACTGCAGGGGGCGCCGTCCTGTCACCAGTAACTATCTCTAATACTAACCTATAAACTCTACAGACTGTAGGGGGCGCCGTCCTGTCACCAGTAACTATCTCTAATACTAACCTATAAACTCTACAGACTGCAGGGGGCGCCGTCCTGTCACCAGTAACTATCTCTAATACTAACCTATAAACTCTACAGACTGTAGGGGGCGCCGTCCTGTCACCAGTAACTATCTCTAATACTAACCTATAAACTCTACAGACTGCAGGGGGCCGCCGTCTGTCACCAGTAACTATCTCTAATACTAACCTATAAACTCTACAGACTGTAGGGGGCGCCGTCCTGTCACCAGTAACTATCTCTAATACTAACCTATAAACTCTACAGACTGTAGGGGGCGCCGTCCTGTCACCAGTAACTATCTCTGCACTCTACACACACACAGACTGTAGGGAGATTTATCCACATGTGATCAGACTGGACTCTTCTACCTGTCCTCACCTGTCCTCACCTGTCCTCACCTGTCTTCACCTGTCGTCACCTGTCGTCACCTGTCCTCACCTGTCCTCACCTGTCCTTGTCCCTGTCCCTGTCCTGTCAGTCACTTCCACAGTATGGACGAGTTTTCTGTGTACGAGTTGTTGGACTCGGGGAATCGCGCCGTCGCCGAAGGACACAAGGCGTCGTTCTGTCTCGAAGACACGTCCTGTGACCCGGGATATTACAGACGCTACGCCTGCACGTCCCACACCCAGGTCAGGACTAAACCAGGACTAAACCAGGACTAAACCAGGTCTAAACCAGGACCAGACCAGGACTAAACCAGGACTAAACCAGGACTAAACCAGGACCAAGACCAGGACCAGGACCTAAGACCAGGACTAAACCAGGACCAGACCAGGACTAAACCAGGACCAGACCAGGACTAACCAACCAGACTAAACCAGGACTAAACCAGGACTAAACCAGGACCAGACCAGGACTAAACCAGGACAAACCAGGACTAACCAGACCAGGACCAACCAGGACTAAACCGACCAGGACTAAACCAGGACTAAACCAGGACCAGGACTAAACCAGACTAAACCAGGACTAAACCAGGACCAGGACTAAACCAGACCAGGACTAAACCAGGACTAAACCAGGACTAAACCAGGACTAAACCAGACCAGGACTAAACCAGGACTAAACCAGGACTAAACCAGGACCAGACCAGGACTAAACCAGGACTAAACCAGGACTAAACCAGGACTAAACCAAGACCAGGACTAAACCAGGAAACCAGGACTAAACCAAGACCAGGACTAAACCAGGACTAAACCAGACCAGGACCTAAGACCAGGACTAAACCAGGACTAAACCAGGACTAAACCAGGACTAAACCAGGACTAAACCAGGACCAGACCAGGACAGACAGACTAAACCAGGACTAAACCAGGACTAACCAGGACCAGGACTAAACCAGGACTAAACCAGGACTAAACCAGGACTAAACCAGGACCAGACCAGACTAAACCAGGACTAAACCAGGACCAGACCAGGACTAAACCAGGACTAAGACCAGGACTAAACCCTAAACCAGGACTAAACCAGGACTAAACCAGGACCAGACCAGGACTAAACCAGGACTAAACCAGGTCTAAACCAGGACCAGACCAGGACTAAACCAGGATCAGACCAGGACCAGACCAGGACTAAACCAGGACTAAACCAGGACTAAACCAGGACTAAACCAGAACTAAACCAGGTCTAAACCAGGACCAGACCAGGACTAAACCAGGACTAAACCAGGACTAAACCAGGACTAAACCAGGACCAGACCAGGACTAAACCACGACTAAACCAGGACTAAACCAGGACCAGACCAGGACTAAACCAGGACCAGACCAGGACTAAACCAGGACTAAACCAGGATCAGACCAGGACCAGACCAGGACTAAACCAGGACTAAACCAGGACTAAACCACTAAACCAGGACCAGACCAGGACTAAACCAGGACTAAACCAGGACTAAACCAGGACTAAACCAGGTCTAAACCAGGACCAGACCAGGACCAGGACTAAACCAGGACTAAACCAGGACTAAACCAGGACCAGACCAGGACTAAACCAGGACTAAACCAGGTCTAAACCAGGACCAGACCAGGACTAAACCAGGACTCAGACCAGGACTAAACCAGGACTAAACCAGGACCAGACCAGGACTAAACCAGGACTAAACCAAAACTAAACCAGGACCAGACCAGGACTAAACCAGGACTAAACTACAGACGCTACACCTGCACGTCCCACACCCAGGTCTAAACCAGACTAAACCAAGACTAAACCAAGACTAAACCAGGACTAAACCAAGACTAAACCAGGACTAAACCAAGACTAAACCAGGACTAAACCAGGTCTAAACCAGGACCAGACCAGGACTAAACCAGGACTAAACCAAGACTAAACCAGGACTAAACCAAGACTAAACCAGGACTAAACCAGGTCTAAACCAGGACCAGACCAGGACTAAACCAGGACTAAACCAGGTCTAAACCAGGACCAGACCAGGACTAAACCAAGACTAAACCAAGACCAGACCAGGACTAAACCAGGACTAAACCAGGACTGAACCTGTATGTGTTCAGGGTCTGAGTCCGGGCTGTTATGACACGTACAGCGCAGACATCGACTGTCAGTGGATCGACATCACAGACGTGTCTCCGGGAAAATACGTCCTCAAGGTTTGATTTGTTTATTTATTTATTTATTTATGTGTTTGTTTGTTTGTTTATTTGTTTATTTAAAAAGCACAAACACAAACTGTGATCGGACGTGTGGCTCCATCTGGTGGTTGATGAAAGGAACTGCACCTCCGTCCCAGATCTGATCACGTCAGAAATGATTTGACCAGATTTCAGTTCAGCGTTTCCATGGAGACGTTCTTGTTTGACCTGGAATGTTCCGCAGTGTGGCATTAAACGTATCCAGAGTATTTACTAGTGTTTGATTGCAGGTGTTTGTGTTTTGTGTTTGTGTGTTTGTGTGTTTTATGTTTGTGTGTGTCTGTGTGTGTTTTGTGTGTGTTTGTGTCTGTGTGTGTGTGTTTGTGTGTGTCTGTGTGTGTTTTGTGTGTGTTTGTGTGTGTTTTGTGTGTGTTTGTGTGTGTTTTGTGTGTGTCTGTGTGTGTTTGTGTGTGTGTTTTGTGTGTGTCTGTGTGTTTTGTGTGTGTTTTGTGTGTTTGTGTGTGTTTTGTGTGTTTTGTGTGTGTTTGTGTGTGTTTTGTGTGTGTGTTTGTGTGTGTTTGTGTGTGTGTTTGTGTGGAAAATCCTGTGAGCAGAGTCGCCTCTCCACAGATCTGACCTGTAACTTGGCCTGGTGCCACCATGGTCTTGTTTCCATGGAGATAGATCTGTGAAAAGCTGCACTGCGGAGCATTTCGGGCAAAGCAGTGACATCTCCATGGAGACGAGCAGGGCCTGTTCTCGGCCGGGGGTCGTAGGTCAGAGGGGGCGGGGTCTCCGCTCGCCGGTCCGCAGACGTGGCGTGTGACTGTGTGCGTTGCCTAGGTGACGGTGAACCCGCGACACCGAGTCCCGGAGTCGAACTACAACAACAACATGGCCCGATGTGACGTCCACTACAGCGGCACGAGTGTACACGTGTCCGGCTGCTCCATCACAGCGTGAGACATACTACAAATACTACTACTAATACTACAAATACTACTACAAATACTACTACTACAACAAATATACTACTACTACAACAAATACTACTACTACTACAACAAACTACTACTACTACAACAAATACTACAACAAAATACTACTACTACAACAAATACTACTACTACTACAACAAATACTACTACTACAACAAATACTACAACAAATACTACTACTACTACAACAAACTACTACTACTACTACTACTACAACAAATACTACTACTACAACAAATACTACTACTACAACAAACTACTACTACTACTACTACAAATACTACTACTACACTACAACAAATACTACTACTACTACAACAAATACTACTACTACTACTACTACTACTACTAACATACTACTACTACAACAAACTACTACTACTACAACTAACTACTACTACTACTACTACAACAAACTACTACTACTACAACAAATACTACTACTACTACAACAAATACTACTACTACAACAAATACTACTACTACTACAACAAATACTACTACTACTACACTACTACTACAACAAATACTACTACTACTACAACATACTACTACTACTACAACAAAACTACTACTACTACTACAACAAATACTACTACTACTACAACAAATACTACTACTACTACAACAAACTACTACTACTACTACAACAAATACTACTACTACTACAACAAATATACTACTACTACAACAAATACTACTACTACTACTACAACAAATACTACTACTACTACTACTACTACTACTACTACTACTACAACAAACTACTACTACTACAACAAATACTACTACTACTACTACTACTACTACTACTAACAACTACTACTACTACAACAAATACTACTACTACTACAACAAATACTACTACTACTACAACAAATACTACTACTACTACAACTACTACTAACTACTACTACTACTACTACTACTACTACAACAAATACTACTACTACTACTACTACAACTAAACTACTACTACTACTACAACAAATACTACAAATACTACTACAACAAATACTACTACTACTACAACAAATACTACTACTACTACTACTACAACTACTACTACTACAACAAATACTACATACAACTACTACTACTACTACAACAAATACTACTACTACTACTACTACACTACAAATACTACTACTACTACAACAACTATACTACTACAACAAATACTACTACTACTACAACAAATACTACTACTACTACAACAAAATACTACTACTACTACAACAAATACTACTACTACTACAACAAATACTACTACTACAAATACTACTACTACTACAACTACTACAAACTACTACTACTACTACTACTACTACAACTACTACAACTACTACTACTACAACAAATACTACTACTACTACAACAAATACTACTACAACTACTACAACTACTACTACAACAAATACTACTACAACAAATACTACTACAACTACTACTACTACTACAACAACAAATACTACTACTACAACAATACTACTACAACAAATACTACTACTACTACTACAACAAATACTACTACTACTACAAATACTACTACAAATACTACTGCAAATACTACTACTACTGCAAATACTACTACTACTGCAAATACTACTACTACTGCAAATACTACTACTACTACTACAACAAACACTACTACTACAAATACTACTACTACTACTACTACAAATACTACTACTACTACAAATACTACTGCAAATACTGCAAATACTACAAATACTACTAATACTACTACAAATACTACTACTACTGCAAATACTACTGTAAATACTACAAATACTACTGCAAATACTACTACAAATACTACTACAAATACTACAACTACTAATACTACAAATACTACTACTAATACTGCAAATACTACAAATACTACTACTAATACTACTGCACTGCTGCTACTACTACTACTACTGCTTGTAGTATCACTAGTACTGTTAGTACTACTACAAATACTAATACTAATACTTTTATTCTAACTACTACTACTGCTGCTACTCATCTCAAAATCAATTCTATCCCTGGTTCAGTCCTGGTTTAGTCCTGGTTTAGTCCTGGTTTAGTCCTGGTTTAGTCCTGGTTCAGTCCTGGTTCAGTCCTGGTTCAGTCCTGGTTCAGTCCTGGTTTAGTCCTGGTTTAATTTCTTGTTGTTTCTTGTTGTTTTTCAGACACTGACATTTGGAGCTGGAGCTGAATTCTACTTGATTTAAATTTACATTTTACATTTTAATATTTTCAAATTCAGATTTTATTTATGAACTTTTCGTCGTTAAAGCTCCGGTGTGTCTCAGTGAGTCGAGTCAGGTCAGGTCAGGTCAGAGTGAGTCGGGTCGAGTCGGGTCGGGCTGTGACACACGGAAGCTTTAAGACGAATAAAACGACTGAATCATAAATTATACTTTTAATTAGACGAGTGCAGTTTTTTTTTTTTTTGTAAGGACTTTTGGTGCTGTAGACGTTTAGTGCTGTTATTTTATTTTATTTTTATTTGATGTTTCATGTTTTTGCTTTCACCACATTCAGAATAAAAATGCTTCATTATAAAACCGTCACTTTGTATTTTCTTTTATCACATTTGTCCACACGGTGTCACTGTTGAGTCAATAACAAACACTTTGGCTTTAGATTTGGTTCTGCAGTTTGTCGTTTCGTTTTTTCTTGTTGTGACGCTTCGACCAATCAGCACCAAGTATTTATCGAGCTCACTCCAGACAGGTGAAGGACAGGTGAGGGCAGGTGAGGGCAGGTGAAGGCAGGTGAAGGCAGGTGAGGGCAGGCAGGTGCAGGGCAGGTGGAGGGCAGGTGAGGGCAGGTGAGGGCAGGTGAAGGCAGGTGCAGGTGAAGGCAGGTGAGGGCAGGTGAAGGCAGGTGAGGGCAGGTGAAGACAGGTGAGGACAGGTTCATGGACTCAGACACAGAGACTCAGAGGCAGAACTCGGAGTTTTACAGAGTTTAATGAAAAAAAGAGACGATCAGAAAAGTTGGAGCTGCTTCCTCATTGGCCACTCTTGTCCAGGCCCCGCCCCTGCTGTGCTGTGATTGGCCGGACGCCGCTGTAGTGTCCGTCGTCGCTGGGGTAGCGCTGGCGGATGGTCCGGACGCAGCAGCGGGGGATGACGGGCGTGGCGTGCGAGGGCAGCGAGGGGGCGGGGCCGAACCTCCAGAGGACGTACTGGGCGTAGGCGCGGTGCCGCAGCTCCCTCGCGCTCCTGTGGGAGGCGCCCAGCGGGTCCTCGTACCGCAGACACGACTCCAGCAGGGGGCGCCACAACACGAGACGCTCGAACACCGGAGACGACGACAGACACGGCCCCGGGGCCACGCGGCAGCACAGCGCCTCCACCAGGACCGACGACGGACTGCAGCACGAGCACTTACACCAGGGGGGCGGGGCCACGGGGGGCGGGGTCACAGGAGTGGAGGGGGAGGAGTCAGAGGGTTTGTCGGACAGCGGGTGGATCTCGGGGTCGGACTGGAGCAGAGAGACGACGGCCTGGAAATGTCCGGGGTCGTCCTGCAGAGAAGAAAGAGAAAGAGAAAAAGAAAGAAAGAAAGACGGAGAGAAAGAGAGAGAGAGGGATTTAGACTGAGAAATAAAACTTTACACATTGTCTGAAGTGTTGCGCTGGAGGTTTGTGAAACTTCTGGTTAATGTGTAAGTGTGTATGTAAATGTGTGCGTGTAAATGTGTGTGTGTGTGTGTGTGTGTGTGTGTGTGTGTGTAAATGTGTGTGTGTGTGTGTGTGTATGTGTGTGTAAATGTGTGTGTGTGGTGTGTGTAAATGTGTGTGGGGTCGGGTCTCGGGGGTCGGGGTCTCAGGTCTCGGGGTCTCGGGGGTCGGGGTCTCGGGGTCGGGGTCTCGGGGTCGGGGTCTCGGGGTCTCGGGGTCTCGGGGTCTCGGGGTCTCGGGGTCTCGGGGTCGGGGTCTCGGGGGTCGGGGTCTCGGGGTCTCGGGGGTCTCGGGTCTCGGGGTCTCAGGTCTCGGGGTCTCGTCAGTCCAAGTGTCCAGGTGAGGTGTGGACAGATCTTCGGCGTTTACCTGGCGGCTCTGGACACTCATGGGTTTGACGTTCTGCAGGTTTTTCTTCTGAGACCTTTTCACCAAACGCACATGCGGCTCATCCACAAAAGACACACACAGCACCCCCTAAAGGACAGAAGACAGAGGAGGACAGAGGACACAGGACAGAGAGGACAGAGGACAGAGAGGACAGAGGACAGAGGACAGAGAGAGGACAGAGGACAGAGAGGACAGAGAGAGAGGACAGAGGACAGAGGAGGACAGAGGATAGAGGACACAGGACAGAGGACAGAGAGGACACAGAGGACAGAGGACACAGGAGGACAGAGAGGATAGAGGACACAGGACAGAGGAGGACAGAGGACAGAGGAGGACAGAGAGGATAGAGGACACAGGACAGAGAGGACAGAAGAGGACAGAGGACAGAGTGGAGGGAGTTTGAGAGAAACATTTGATCATAAATAATAATAAATCCTTTAGATATAGATCTTCTGTCCTATGTCCCTGTGTTTCAGCTGTAGCCCCGCCCCCTCCACACAGACCCCGCCCCCTCTCTCACCGTGGGCGTGTCCTGCAGAGCCTCCACTTTCTTCTCAGAATATCTGTGTCCCGCCTCCACAGAATAACACCTGGTGTCAATCAACCAATCGAGAAACACCGTCGTCTGAGAGAGAGAAGAAGAGAGAGAGAACAGAGAGAGAAGAAGAGAGAGAAGAAGAAGAGAGAGAAGAAGAAGAAGAGAGAGGGAAGAGAGAGAGAGAAGAAGAAGAGAGAGGAGAAGAGAGAAAGAAAGAGGACAGGGGGAGAAGAGAAGAGAGAGAAGAAAGGGAAAAGGAGAGAGTGTGAGGAAAAAAGAAAAGAGAAGAGAGAGAGAAAGACATGAAAGAGGGAGAGAGAAGAGAGACAGAGAAGGAGAGAGAAAAGAAGAGAGAAGAAAGGGAGAGAGGGAGGAAAGGAGAGACAAAAAAAGAGGGAAAGAAGAAAGGAGAGAGAAAAAGACATGAGAGAAGGAGAGAGAGAGATTAGAGTAGTTTTTAGAGTTTACTCAGATTAAAATCTTAAAACTCTTAAAGTGAGACTGAGTCCGGTCCGGGGAGTATGGTCCGGTCTGGTCCGGTGAGTCCGGTCTGGTCCAGTGAGTCCGGTGTGGGGAGTCCGGTCCGGTCCGGTGAGTCCGGTCCGGTGAGTCCGGTCCGGTGAGTCCGGTCCGGTGAGTCCGGTCCGTGGTCCGGTCCGGTCCGGTCGGTCGGTCGGTCCGGTGAGTCCGGTCGGTCGTCCGTCCGGTGAGTCCGGTCCGGTCGGTCCGGTCGGTCCGGTCCGGTCGGTCGGTCGGTCGGTCCGGTCCGGTGAGTCCGGTCCGGTCGGTCCGGTCCGGTGAGTCCGGTCCGGTCCGGTCCGGTCCGGTCCGGTGAGTCGGTCCGGTCCGGTCCGGTCCGGTCCGGTGAGTCCGGTCCGGTCCGGTCCGGTCCGGTGAGTCCGGTCCGGTCGGTCCGGTCCGGTCGGTGGTCCGGTCCGGTCCGGTCGTCCGGTCCGGTCGGTCCGGTCCGGTCCGTCCGGTCGGTCCGGTCCGGTGAGTCCGGTCCGGTGGTCCGGTCGGTCCGGTCCGGTCCGGTCCGGTCCGGTGTCCGGTCCGGTGTGTCCGGTCCGGTCGGTCCGGTGTGTCCGGTCCGGTGTGTCCGGTCCGGTGAGTCCGGTCCGGTGTGTCCGGTCCGGTGAGTCCGGTCCGGTGTCCGGTCCGGTGGTCCGTGTGTCCGGTCCGGTGAGTCCGGTCCGGTGTGTCCGGTCCGGTGTGTCCGGTCCGGTCCGGTGTGGGGAGTCCGGTCCGGTCCGGTGTGGGGAGTCCGGTCCGGTCTGGTCCGGTCCGGGGAGTCCGGTGTGGGGAGTTCGGTCCGGTCTGATACGGTCCGGGGAGTCTGGTCCGGTCTGGTCCGGGGAGTCCGGTGTGGGGAGTTCGGTCCGGTCTGATACGGTCCGGGGAGTCCGGTCCGGTCCGGTCCGGGGAGTCCGGTGGGGAGTCCGGTGGGGGGGTCCGGTTGGGGAGTCCGGTGTGGGGAGTCCGGTCGGTCCGGTCGGTCCGGGGAGTCCGGTCCGGTGGGTCCGGTCCGGTGGGTCCGGTCCGGTGGGTCCGGTCCGTGGTCCGGTCCGGTCCGGTCCGAGTCCGGTCCGGTCCGGTCCGGTGGTCCGGGATCCGGTCCGAGTCGGTCCGGTCCGGTGAGTCCGGTCCGGTCGGTCCGGTCCGGTGAGTCCGGTCCGGTCGGTCCGGTCGGGAGTCCGGTCGGTCCGGTCCGGTCCGGGAGTCCGGTCCGGTCCGGTCGGTCGGTCCGGTGAGTCCGGTCCGGTCGGTCCGGTCCGGTGAGTCCGGTCCGGTCGGGTCCGGTCCGGTGAGTCCGGTCCGGTCGGTCCGTCCGTCCGGTGGGGAGTCCGGTCCGGTTGAGTCCGGTCCGGTGAGTCCGTCCGGTCCGGTGAGTCCGGTCCGGTGTGTCCGGTCCGGTGAGTCCGGTCCGGTGTGTCCGGTCCGGTGTGTCCGGTCCCGTGTGGGGAGTCCGGTCCGGTCTGGTCCCGTCCGGTCCGGTGGTCCGGTCCGGTCCGGTGTGGGGAGTCCGGTCCGGTCCGGTGTGGGAGTCCGGTCCGGTCCGGTCCGGTCCTGGGGAGTCCGGTCCGGGTGGGGAGTCGGTCCGGTCTGGTCCGGTCCGGGGAGTCCGGTCCGGTCGGTCCGGGGAGGTCCGGTCCTGGGGAGTCCGGTCCGGTCCGGTCCGGTCCTGGGGAGTCCGGTCCGTCCGGTCTGGGGAGTCCGGTCCGGTCTGGGGGAGTCCGGTCCGGTCCTGGGGAGTCCGGTCTGGGGAGTCCGGTCCGTCCGGGTCTGGGGAGTCCGGTCTGGGGGAGTCCGGTCCGGTCCGGTCCGGTCTGGGGGGGAGTCCGGTCCGGGGAGTCCGGTCCGGTCTGGGGAGTCCGGGGGTCCGGTCTGGGGAGTCCGGTCCGGTCTGGGGAGTCGGTCGGTCTGGGGAGTCCGGTCCGGTCCGGTCTGGGGAGTCCGGTCCGGTCCGGTCTGGGGAGTCCGGTCCGGTCCGGTCGGTCTGGGGAGTCCGGTCTGGGGAGTCCGGTCCGGTCTGGGGAGTCCGGTCCGGTCCGGTCTGGGGAGTCTGGGGGGTCCGGTCTGGGGAGTCCGGTCGTCGGTCTGGGTCTGGGAGTCCGGTCTGGGGAGTCCGGTCTGGGGAGTCCGGTCCGGTCTGGGGAGTCCGGTCCGGTCCGGTCTGGGGAGTCCGGTCCGGTCCGGTCCGGTCTGGGGGAGGTCCGGTCTGGGGAGTCCGGTCCGGTCGGTCCGGTCTGGGGAGTCCTGGGGAGTCCGGTCTGGTCTGGGAGTCCGGTCGGTCGGTCGTCGGGGGGGAGTCCGGTCTGGGGATCCGGTCCGAGTCCGGTCGGTCGTCGGTCTGGGGAGTCCGGTCCGGTCTGGTCTGGGGAGTCCGGTCCGTCCTGGGGAGTCCGGTCCGGTCCGGTCTGGGGAGTCCGGTCTGGGGAGTCCGGTCTGACCAGGGCGTAGTAAGACAGGGTGGAGCCGATGTAGAGCAGGAGCTGGATGAAGCTGAAGCGTCCGGCCTGAAACAACGACACAAGTACAAAATAAATCAAATAAAATAAAGAGTGAAAGTGATTTTGTGTCGTTTCCTCAGACCTGCCCAAAGACGAGAACATCGAAACGAATCCCGAACGCTTTAAACAACGTCCTCTCCTCCACACCGTCCACCACATGGAACCGAGAAAACCTGGAACAAGACCCGGATTAGACCTGGTTTAGTCCTGGTTTAGTCTTGGTTCAGTCCTGGTTTAGTCCTGGTCGAGACCTGTAGTTGAGTCCTGGTTTAGTCCTGGTCCAGACCTGTAGTTGAGTCCTGGTCCAGACCTGTAGTTGAGTCCTAGTCCAGACCTGTAGTTGAGTCCTGGACTAGTCCTGGTCCAGACCTGTAGTTGAGTCCTGGTCTAGTTCTAGTCCAGACCTGTAGTTGAGTCCTGGTCTAGTTCTAGTCCAGACCTGTAGTTGAGTCCTGGTCTAGTTCTAGTCCAGACCTGTAGTTGAGTCCTGGTCCAGACCTGTAGTTGAGTCCTGGTCCAGACCTGTAGTTGAGTCCCGGTCTAGTCCTGGTCCAGACCTGTAGTTGAGTCCCGGTCGAGTCCTGGTACAAACCTGTAGTTGAGTCCCGGTTTAGTCCTGGTACAAACCTGTAGTTGAGTCCCGGTCTAGTCCTGGTCCAGACCTGTAGTTGAGTCCCGGTCTAGTCCTGGTCCAGACCTGTAGTTGAGTCCCGGTCTAGTCCTGGTCCAGACCTGTAGTTGAGTCCCGGTCTAGTCCTGGTCCAGACCTGTAGTTGAGTCCTGGGGACAGGGTTTTGTTGGACAGTTTCTGGTCGACTCGTCTGAAGCTGTACTGGGGCAGACAGCGGTGAGTCAGACGGTCCAGGTTACAGTCCCACTTAATCTGCACAGCGATGACGCCCCCCTGTGGACAGAGAGAAAATTACAGCACAGAGAGAGAGAGAGAGCCCCCTGTGGACAGAAAGAGAATTACAGCACAGAGAGAGCGCCCCCTGTGGACAGAGAGAAAATTACAGCACAGAGAGAGAGAGAGAGAGCCCCCTGTGGACAGAGAGAGAATTACAGCACAGAGAGAGCGCCCCCTGTGGACAGAAAGAGAATTACAGCACAGAGAGAGCGCCCCCTGTGGACATGGAGAGAATTACAGCACAGAGAGAGCGCCCCCTGTGGACAGAGAGAGAATTACAGCACAGAGAGAGCGCCCCCTGTGGACATGGAGAGAATTACAGCACAGAGAGAGCGCCCCCTGTGGACAGAGAGAGAATTACAGCACAGAGAGAGCGCCCCCTGTGGACAGAGAGAGAATTACAGCACAGAGAGAGCGCCCCCTGTGGACATGGAGAGAATTACAGCACAGAGAGCGAGCGCCCCCTGTGGACATGGAGAGAATTACAGCACAGAGAGAGCGCCCCCTGTGGACACAGAGAGAATTACAGCACAGAGAGAGCGCACCCCCTGTGGACATAGAGAGAATTACAGCACAGAGAGAGCGCCCCCTGTGGACAGAGAGAGAATTACAGCACAGAGAGAGAGAGAGCGCCCCCTGTGGACAGAAAGAGAATTACAGCACAGAGAGAGCGCCCCCTGTGGACATGGAGAGAATTACAGCACAGAGAGAGAGCGCCCCCTGTGGACATGGAGAGAATTACAGCACAGAGAGAGCGCCCCCTGTGGACAGAGAGAGAGTTACAGCACAGAGAGAGCGCCCCCTGTGGACAGAGAGAGTGTTACAGCACAGACAGAGAGCGCCCCCTGTGGACAGAAAGAGAATTACAGCACAGAGAGAGCGCCCCCTGTGGACAGAGAGAGAGTTACAGCACAGAGAGAGCGCCCCCTGTGTTACAGCACAGAGAGAGTGTTACGAGCACAGACAGAGAGCGCCCCCTGTGGACAGAGAGAGAATTACAGCACAGAGAGAGCGCCCCCTGTGTTACAGACAGAGAGAGAAGAATTACAGCACAGAGAGAGCGCCCCCTGTGGACAGAGAGAGAATTACAGCACAGCACAGAGAGAGCGCCCCCTGTGAGACAGAGAGAGAATTACAGCACAGAGAGAGCGCCCCCTGTGGACATGGAGAGAATTACAGCACAGAGAGAGAGCGCCCCCTGTGGAGAGTTACAGACAGAGAGAGAATTACAGCACAGCACAGAGAGAGCGCCC